AGAAAAATATCTCTAAAATTATCTCATTGATTTCTAATCTACACTTTTTCATTGACATTATATCTATAACACATTAGCTGATCATCCATAACTCACAAATTGTTTTCACATTTTCACTCTCTTCAAATCTATACTCACTCTCTCACTCACTCACTCACTCACTCATTCATTCACTCACTCACTCATTCATTCATTCATTCATTCAGTTATTCAGTTATCTTCTATTCAACTTGGAAATAATTCAATAAATATCATATCATATTATAACAGATCCACATCATATCATATTTTTCTGACCTACTTTCTTTTAAATAGAATATTTGTCTAATGAGTGAATGTATTGTTCTTTTTTAACTCAGTATCATCTATAATACGTATACAAATAGACGACTAGTCATAAAACATACTTAAACAATCTAATACGATTATGAAGTAAAAGGAAAAGAAAAGAAAATGTAACTGTTTAGTTGAATTATTGGTTTTGCCAGTAGTTTTCATGATTAGTTAACAATGGCTAGAAAAAGAAAACAATCAAACATCATCAGTGAATAAATAAGTGTTTCCATATCACAGCATTACATAGTCTAGATCCGTTTTATATGTCATTCGAAACATTAAATATTTGGATTTAATAAGAATTTATACTATTGCATTGGATCAACGATTTATTTTAAGACTATCAAAGTGATTTGAAGATATAAACAAAGATGATTAGTGGTTAAGAGTAGAATCCTGGACACACATTTCGTCCCATTTGTGACTCATTAGGTGACTTTTGGGATTCAGTAGGTAAGAGGATAACGTGATGGCGTTTTCAGCGAACGCTACTGGGTTCAAGTCCCAGAGTGAACGTCAACCCTGAGATGCAGGTATATCCGGCTGACCAGTCCCAAATGGGGCGAAACGCATGTCCTGGATTTCACTGCTGGCCACTATCTATCTTTTCTTAGAATGCTTGTGAATTAAGGTAATGCGCACAGTATGCACTTATGCCAATAAGAAACTTATCAATGGCATTCCTAAACATCAATGGGAAGATCCAAGTAAACAATACCAAGTGAATTCAAATTTAAGATAGTCGATAACTGATATGAAGCATTAATTGTCTAGTTTCATGAATCTATTTCCTTGCATTTTTTCCGTGATGATCTTTTCTGGTTCAATTATGTGGAATACGTTCCACATTCTTGATGTGCATTAAAGGTTGATTTCAATCAATGGAACCTGTTTCAACTGATGTATCTACACTTAAAATTAGTCTATGGAATTTAGTTATGTACATTCAAATCTCAGTTATGATGTTTCTCAAAACAAAACAGTGTGTTTTCGCATTAAGTCTTAGATTTTATTACATCACTGCTAACTGGTACTCAATATAATATATTTATATTTCATATCTGGTCTGGTGAACTGCATCTTATGATGTTTTTGTAAACCATTAAAATAAACAATATTCAACCATTAAGATTTTGAAATGGAACCAATCTAAACATCTACTGAACTTACACAATCAAAAAATTTATTAGCAATATGGCATGGTGGAGATTGTTGAGTTTTATTGAAATCACAGACCAATCTAAGCTAGACCACCATTGAAAACCTGGAAGCACTGGACGGCCGTTTCATCTTATTATGGAACTCCCTAGCAGCGCGCAACCACGACCTCGCCCGCATTCACGCGTAATACCTAAGGCCCTAGGTTCTATGATGCTAGTAATTTTACGGTGAATGTATCTTAATTCATACTTATATCTTATAGTTTGTTATATTTACGGTTATTTGAATAAATTCCGCTAGGGATTATCCATTCTAACTCTTTTATGAACCTAGGCTCATATGTGAAGTGAATCGCACAAGAGATTTAAAACTGTGATCTACACTTTGAAATGTTTAGATTTATTTCTGATAAAAGATGGGAATAAGAAATGTAATAAAAAAGACAGTTAATTCCAACTCATATTAAATAGCACTATTGTTTTTCAAATTATCCGTAATATGTGCAATAATATAAGTAGGTTTAAATCGTTAAAGTCTGATGTCAGTTGAGTTAAAATTAAAAACGAGGAGGCACAGGACACTTGTTTCGTCCTCATATAGGATTTCTCAGCAGTGAACATTTAAGGGTTCTCTATGGATTGAACCCATAACCTTAGAAGATTCAATTATTGATGAGACCACGAATGAGATCAGTCTGTCAATTTCTAATGTGTAATAGATCGTGTATATATTTTTATAAATTGTTCCTAAGCGACTTCACAGAATAATGTTTCATTGTTAATCTTATGTTTCTTCATGATTGACTGATTATACACTTAGATGAAAAGCCTTTTTCAGTAAAATTAACTAAACTATAAGTGAAAGATAGCACTTGTCAAAACTCTTTTTGAGTGAAAAGTAATAATTTCACTTCACATGAGAATGAATGCAACAGGAAAATATTATCCATTTAATTCTGGCAAGTAATGTCGTATTCAAGCCATTTGTTTAGGTATTCAAAAAGTATATAAACTGGAAAAAGATCCTAAGCTACAAAGAACTCACTTTCTTGTATGTCGTTTTTACGAAGTCTAAGGATTTACAAATTTTCAGTCAGAAAAATAGGTTGCTTTGCTCATTGAATATTCTGTCGATATGTTTCTTTGGTTTCCTCAAAAGGTTTTTTAGAAATTAAATCAATAATCACCAAAGAGTATTATCATTTTTACTCATCAATCGCTCTGAGATGAGGTTCTGAAATTTTGACATGAACTCGTTACTGTTGAAATAATATTGTCTCTTGAATGAAATTGACACAGTCACTGACTCTATAATCGTCAAACTGATTAAGGTTAGAGTTGTGAACCATCAGATTTCAATACTGTAATCCTAATGGCAGTTACATATCAATCCCAAAATGACTGAAGTTAGACATACGAAATATCGAATACCAACTCAGTGACCTGAAAGTTAAGAACTTGCCGCAAGAATTAAAGATCATAGGTTTGCTCTGTTAGTAGAGATCATGCACTAATGAAAGTGTTGTGCAGTGTTTCCTGGTTTTCAATGGTCGTCTAGTATGGTTAGCCTGAGAATAAAACCGTACATCGATGTCATTGTTTGACGTGTCTGAAATCAAGAAGAAACAGTCTTTGAATGTTTTATAAATATAAATTGCTCTCCACCTGATTTCAGTGTTTGATAAGAATACAATGTTATTATTTATGAATGATATTTTACACTAAGATAGGTTTGATTACTTTACAAGTTTAAGAAAACTAGGAAAGGGCATAAATTGAAGTCATTGAAAAACTTTATGTACTTGAAGGTATCTGTTTTCCGAGTTTGAACGTTTAACCATAAAACTTTTGTTTCTATACAATATTATCAACACATTTTTTCAAATGAAATGAACTATTAGACGTTTTCTCTCAAAATTGATTAACAGACTATTCTATTGATTTAGGATTTGGTCAGTAGTTGTTCATTACTTGCATAACCATTGTTTCTATGTATATTTGATTGTTTACTCTCCTGATTTTATCTCGAACCTTTCTTTTATTCATCATTTTTCTTATTCGTTGAGAGATTGAATGAAATTCATTGTGCCTATTGATTGATTTTTGACCGAAGTTTCAAGTTTCTAAAAATTCTCTGGCTTTATGTTTCTTTTTTCTTATATTTCGAGATTTTCTTCCACATATTTTCCATATGTATCAATATAAGTTATATCTTGAAGTTTCACAGGCGACTGGTTTTCATATAAACAGAGAGCGAGGACACATGGATTATCAATGAGATCAGAAAGCGCAACACTTTCGAAACTCTTATTTTGGGCTACAAAATATTCTTTGTAATTTTAATGTTCATCAGATACTTAATTCATTCTAGATTAGGTTTTGAAAACAATTATGTGAAAGTTTATGTAGTTCTGTTCATAATCTTACACCGGATCCTATTCAGAACATACAGATCTAGTGGTGAATATGTTGCATGTGAATTAGTCACTCAGCATTGATCATTCTGAAAGCATGTGCAAACATCTCTATAAAATCATCATGCCTACTTGCATATTTACGCCTGTTACCTCCAATAGAACATAGATCGCCAACCAGCATTCTCCAACCCACTCTGTTTTGGGCCTTTGTTATGTCCCGATAATGAATGGTAACTTAGGAATCCTTTTATGGACCAATATTAAACGTATATTTTTATCGCATAATTGTTAAATAACTAAACAATTCACATTCATGTCCTTCTTATTATGAGCATTATTTTGAACTATGAACTATTATTAAACGATTTACCATTGTTGAGTTATGCCATGTCTATTAATTACTAGCTCCCTTATTCACAACCACATTTGACTAATTCTTGTACAAATGTTGTTTCATATTTTATGGTACGATGTGGTCTGTCTGTTTTTTATATAGACCCAATATGTTTTAAATAAATAATTTGGTGTTGGTTGACAGACAGTTATTTTGAGTTTCAGATGTTCTTCATTTGTAGGTATGCTGATCTTGCTTTGTCGATCCGCGCCTTCACATCTTCATCAGATCTACCGTGTTCATCAATGATGCTGTCCAGATATGTAAATGATTTTACATCTTCCAAATTTTCTCTTTTAATTGTGATTGGATTGGTATATGTTGTGTTGTATTGGAGACTCTAACGTTTCACATTATGTATATTGAGACCTTTATAAAATCATATAACTTGATATAAATAAATCAAGCGTTTACTAAAATATTCCTTCAAACATTCTGTATATATTTCTATCATTACTTCATTACATCTTTGTTCTTGTAATTATAACTAATATGAACTTCATGAAATTGATTTGTCAGTATGCATGAGAAATGTTTCATTGAATGAAAATGATAATGGATACTGGAAAATGACCTTGAAAATTGTTCCTTCACAATCATTAAACCTTGAAATCATAAGATTATGTTCAATGTTAACAATATATATATATATATATATATATATCCTTGCTTATCTGGCAAATACTCAAACATATGTTTAAAAGCAAATTATTATTGTTATCATCATCATCATCATCATCATCATCATCATCATCATCATCATCATCATCATCATCATCATCATCATCATCATCATCATCATCATCATCATCATCATCATCATCATCATCATCATCATCATCATCATCATCATCATCATCATCATCATCATCATCATCATCATCATCATCATCATCATCATCATCATCATCATCATCATCATCATCATCATCATCATCATCATCATCATCATCATCATCATCATCATCATCATCATCATCATCATCATCATCATCATCATCATCATCATCATCATCATCATCATCATCATCATCATCATCATCATCATCATCATCATCATCATCATCATCATCATCATCATCATCATCATCATCATCATCATCATCATCATCATCATCATCATCATCATCATCATCATCATCATCATCATCATCATCATCATCATCATCATCATCATCATCATCATCATCATCATCATCATCATCATCATCATCATCATCATCATCATCATCATCATCATCATCATCATCATCATCATCATCATCATCATCATCATCATCATCATCATCATCATCATCATCATCATCATCATCATCATCATCATCATCATCATCATCATCATCATCATCATCATCATCATCATCATCATCATCATCATCATCATCATCATCATCATCATCATCATCATCATCATCATCATCATCATCATCATCATCATCATCATCATCATCATCATCATCATCATCATCATCATCATCATCATCATCATCATCATCATCATCATCATCATCATCATCATCATCATCATCATCATCATCATCATCATCATCATCATCATCATCATCATCATCATCATCATCATCATCATCATCATCATCATCATCATCATCATCATCATCATCATCATCATCATCATCATCATCATCATCATCATCATCATCATCATCATCATCATCATCATCATCATCATCATCATCATCATCATCATCATCATCATCATCATCATCATCATCATCATCATCATCATCATCATCATCATCATCATCATCATCATCATCATCATCATCATCATCATCATCATCATCATCATCATCATCATCATCATCATCATCATCGTCATCATCATCAGAAATACAGTCATGCTTTTAAGTATCATCTATAACAGACTATTAACTGTTTCAATATATTGTTATTGTCAATTCCCTTTTATAAACACTATTTATATTAACCTAGTTTTTATTGATAAGAATAAACTCATTGTTACTATTTAAAGTTATCACTATAAATATTACTATTATATATAGTTAAACTATTATATTTCAAATAAAGTAAGAACATACATTGATGCAAAGTAGTATGAATGTATAATATTTCAAGGTTTCTCGTCAGCTGGTAACAAACTAAAAAATGTGATAGAATTTTTACATTTGAGATAGTGTGAAAACAATTGACATAAATGAGTGTAAATAACTGGATTACAATAATAACCATATATAGATATATATGCTAGAACAGGTCAAAAGGTTAAAAAGAGGGGGAGAATTAATTTAGGGTGAGTGGTGTAATAGTTTAGTGAAGTTTATAAATTGTGTAATAACTTAAGAGATTAATGGAATTGAATAATGATAAAAGATGTGTTACGTAATAATAATTAAATAGAATTTGAAAAGTTAAGATAATTTAAGAGGATCAAGTGATGGGAATATGTGAATAAAATTTATTTTAAAAAATTAGGTAATAGGGGAGGAGTATAACACAAAATAAATATTTTAAAATGAATAAATAAATAAGATAACCCAATTAATCAACAACAACAAAATGGGATTACCAGGATAATAATAAGTTTATTAATGTCTCTTTTTGAGTGCATAAATCCGGTTTAAGTTTTTTTTATCGTAGTCGCTTCAGCAAAGCAGATTGTAGTCGTATTTCTTTGTCTATTGATAATTTTAAAAGCGTACAAAATGTTGACGGTATGCCCGATGTCAAGTAAATGCCGAGCTATTGCACTGCTGAAAGCCTTAGTCCGTCACAGCCTCAAGTTCTTTGGAACATGCTCAGAAATGCGAATATGCACTCTTCTCTCACTTCTTCCAATTTATATGCTATGGCATGTTCATGTGAATTGGTAAATACAGTTGGAGCTACTAAGAAAAGAGGACTGGTCGATTCTAGTTTGTTTAAGTCAGCAGTTCGTTTGCCATACTGTCGTTAGTTTTGCTGCTGGGTAAGCCAATTTCAACGCAGAATTTAATCTGTGATTAATAAATCCGGCAATTTCATCACCTTTAAAACGTAAATGTAGGAAGCAGGTTTTCTTTTCTACTTCAATACCAACAAATGTCAGATGGTACAAAATATCGATTGACAATCACCTGTTGATCATCTCTCATCATCTAATAACAATAATGTATCATATTGTTAAATTAATCGATAAAGTGTTGGATAATCATCACTAACTAGACAAGTAAAACTCTAATCACCAATACGTAATCTGTTTTATACTGTCAGTTCAATCATTTACCTTATAAGTTGTTTCATTTGCTTAAGCTGAATAAATAATAATGCGTTACAAACAGCAGCGAGAGAGAGAGAGTAGTTTCATTTTGGCTTGAAAATATTGTTTAGAAAAAAAAGTAACTTTCATAGTTAAACTGTTCTGATTATGAACTAATACAGCCTCGTATCTGCCTAAAAAATGGAGGAGAATAAATAAAACATTTTTAAAGAACTTTTAATTCAATCTTATATCCAGTAAGGCGTTGTGACATTCGTTGAACCACATTGAAATCATAAACCAGTTCAAGTTACACCACCATTGAAAACCTGGAAGCACTGACGATTACAATGACATTTAATAATCTTCACAACTCCTTACTGAAAATCATTATGTGCTTGCTACTGACCAGCTTGTCCGGACTGTTACTAAGAAGCCGTAACCATTAGAACTAACCTAAGTCGAGTGTGAGAGAGATGTTCACGCAATTTCATGGATTGACTGAGGCTAGATATTAAAACTGGTGGATGCTGACTCAGTGGTCTAGAAGTTAAGCATTCATGAGTAAGACCAAAGGTGATGGGTTGTGGATGTGTACATTTGAGTAGTCCCATACTAAGAAAAAAATGGCTGTTCATTGCTTCCAGGTTTTCAACTGTGGTCTAAATTGGACCGGTTCATGATTGCAATAGGTCTTATCTGGTGTATAACCTGTCAATCAAAATTTCATTAAAATCTGAAACAGAATTGTTTTGAAAATGGCTCATCATTTCTGACAGTAGAGAGAAATAGTAAATTTTCAAAAAAGTGTTCATTGATCTAAACCAGTTGACGGTTGACTTTAATAATAAAATTATTGAATACTATCAAACATTGGATAGCTGTTTAATGTTGATTATTTCATGATATCATTGGTAATTAACATTCAGAAGTAATTTTGAAGTTCAGATGATAAATTGTAACCATTAAAGTATAACTGTGTTAGATTTAAGATAAGTGTTATCAGTGACAAAGGATCCAGGATCATGAAGGAACAGAAGGAGTATGAACCTACTGTTGATCACAGGCTACCATGGGCTACATCTTCTAAAGTTGCTCCACTTCCTTTTGGATTAGACCTGTAGGTCAACAGCTCGGGGTGTGACCCTCTGAGAAAACTACCTGTTTCAGTTTAAGCAACAGAGCAGTATTCCAATCCTAACAAAAATAAAATGATTTCACTCAGAAGTTCTTTAATCAACAGTTTATGCATAGGCTATTTCTGTCACAGAATGATCTCAGTTGAAAAACCTTCGAAAACGAGGATGTATTGGAAAGTCTTTTCGTCATAGTATGGAACTCCTTTGAAGTAAACTTACAAGATCAATTTATAGATTAAATTGTGGATTTTCAAGTCAGTGATAACTAACATAAATCTGTGAGGTAAATTAAACCATGCTTTACAGAACTCCTTTAACTCAAAAATAAATAACATTTAGTGTAGTCACTACTTAATTTTCATGTGATGCCGTGTTTAATGTTATTGCAATGATGGATTTATTGATCGATTACCCAACTCATTAACCATATTAGTTTATTGGCATTACTGAATACAATCAGATTCTTACTAACATCATGATGAGTCTATGACTATGCATGTTTCTGTCATAATAACTTATACTGATATATCAAATGTCTGAAAGAGTATTTGTGTTATGAAAATGAAATGAAACTGTGCGTTCTCATCTCTAGTCGATTTAATAAAATTATATGAATGCTAATAGTCTCTATAACAAATTGTAGGTGTCATTACCAAGGTTTGATTTGATAATTTCGAATAAATTGAGCATTGGGTTCATTGTTATAAATAAAAATAATATATTTGTAATATCCCAATGAGTAGAAAATTGGATTTTCTACTCATTGGGATATTACAAATATATTATTTTTATTTATCTTATAACAAATGTTACATTTTAGTTGAGCTTAGTTAAATAATACTAAGCTGATCTGTTAGATAGTCGAAAGCTTACTTAATTACGTCTGTTACATCTCATGGAAGAGTATAGGCCACCTAAAAGCATTCTTCATCCAACTCTGTTATAAACAATCTATTAGAGTTATTTCCACTTGCTATTCATCCTTTCTATATCTGTTTCCTATTTTCAAATCAGTGTGTTCTTTCACCTTCCTTTTTTCCAATTACCTTCAAGATTCCAATTTAGCGCTTGCCTCGTGATGCAATTTGATGACTCTCTCAATGTATATCCCAACCAACACTTCCTAATCAGCTGAAAGCTGGTTTGTTATGTCCCAAAGTAAGCTGTTGCTGATAGTACCCGGTCAATGGACATTGATTATCTTGTGTGGACAAGTGTTTACAAATATTTGCAGTGTTTTGATGATGGTTGTGGTAGTTCAACAAGTTTCAAATCTGTACAGTAGAACTGTTTCGACGTTCGTATTGAAGATTGTGACTTTGATATTAGTTGACAGTTGTTTTGCATTGCATATATTCTTCAACTGTAAGAATGCTGTCCTTGATTTGCTAATCCTTGCCTTTACGTTGGCATCAGATCCTTTTGGTTCATCGATGATGCTGTCTAGGTACGTGAAGGATTCAACCTGTTCCAGAGCTTCTCTATCAAGTGTGATTGCATTGGTGTTCTCTGTGTTGTATTTGGGGATCTTGAATTTTCTGTTGTATGATTTTGAAACCTGATGATGTAGAGGCCGCTGCTACACTTTTTGTCTTGTTCTGCATTTTTTGATGTGCATGAGCTAGGAGGGCCAGGTCATCTGCGTTGTAGAAATCGTCTAGTCACATCCAAGCTGTCCATTGTATCCATTACGTCCCCTCAGGTGTGGAGGTCTTCATATTTCAGTCAACTACGAGAAGAAAGAGGAAGTTGGAGATTAATCAGCCTTGTCTGACTCCGGAATGCATCTTTCAGTTGTCCTTAATGCACGACTTTGCAGTGTACTCCGTCGTATGAATTCCGTATGATATTGGCGACTTTCTCAAGTACTCCATAGTGTCAAAAAAGATTTCATAAGGTTCTCCCGACAAAATAGTTGGAAGAAGTTGACAGAAAACACTGAAGCTAGGTTTCGTACTGTTTGGGACTCATCAGTAAGGTGTATCCTTAATCTTAAGTGCACTGGCACTATCCAGAATATTTAGTTCAATAGGTACACCTTTCTTAATAGTGCTAAAATGCATGAGATTTACGTCCAAGGTCTTCTGTCGATCACCTAAAGCCACCTAAAATTTCAATATCCTACACGTGATATTAAATCACTAAGGTTTATTTAATGGACTTCAATCGGAAGTTAAAATGGACTAAACAATCATAACATTATTCGCCTGTCGTTATTCAGTCATTTGTAGAAGTTGAGTTATTAAATAGAATTGTCGTTTAGATTGGAGTAAAAACATTTGAAGAGTTTATTTGAAAACTGAGTAATATATGGGACTAATAGTAATGTCAAACCATCAATTAAATAATAGAATTCTTTTGGTTCTTTGTAGTACATATATATGACCTAGACAAATGTTTTCGACAAGGTTATTAAGTTTATTTGGTGTCAGACACTAACAGAGTTTGAAATGTTGTCTTTTGAACTTGTAAAACAAACCTTACTTCATTTTAAGTCTAAATATTTACATAAAATGCTGGCGACCTATCGAGAAGCTGGTCAATGAGAAACTGAAGAAGTATCACAGAAAAGATCCCTATATTTTCCTCCACCATGTATGTTGTTTGGTGGAACGAAAGCCAATTACCGTAAAACTCATTTAAAGTACAATTTTATTTTAGCAGTTGAATTTATGAGTTAATCTGAGCTAGACCGCTAGTGAGAAACCGGAAGTACTGGACGGTCGTTTTGTCCTAATATATATATATATGTCTAGCTTCTAATATCTAACTACTTATCACACAGCACAATTCAGTGATTTAACATTTGGTCATGAAGTAACATCGATAAAATTCTTAATTCACTTGATGTTGTTTATTTGTATCTTCCCATTGTTATTTAGAACTACAATGGATCGATCTTTTGTTATCATATAGGCATCCTATGCGAACTGCCTTTATATTGCCCTAAGTCACAAACTTTATAATTCATTACAAATTGACTACTGTAGAAAAATTAATGAAAGACAAGAAGAAGTACTGAAATTGTTCAAATTATTTTTATCATTCCACATCATCTAATTGAAACTAAATCAATCTTAAAACATTTATATTTATCAATAGCAATACTAGACTACTGAGCCGGCATTTGCCGGTGTTAATGTCTAACTTCAACCAATCCAATTGATTACGCGCTCTTGGCGCGTGACTGATAGTTCCTGGGTTCGAATCCCGCGAGGGGCGGGATCGTGGATGAGCACTGCTGACGAGTCCCATATTAGGACGAGACGGCCGTTCAGTACTTCCAGGTTTTACAAGATGGCCTAGCTTCAATTGACTCATGCTTTCAACCAGTGAAAAATCTCTACAAAACCTATTCTGATTTTCCATTTCGTATAATTCATCTAATAACTTCCATGTTCACGTTTATTTTCATCGATTGAGACCCAATTTATAGTGACAATATATATATATATATATGTTTTAAAAGAAAACAATTAGATTGGTACTTTGCCAATTTGTCATTATTATGTATCTCTTGTATATATGTGTGTGTAGTTATGTATTAATGTATGTATGCTTGTTTGTGTTTATCACTATACTGAATTCTATTTGCCAAATATTTTAAGTAACCAGTCTTATTATAGTATTATTATTTGTGTAACATATACTGTCTAATTGAAGTTATCTTATATAACTCTTTATATATATATATAATAGTAGATTACAAACAATAGGTCAACAAGGTGGTCATCTAAACAAGTTAGATTCGTGTTTCTTTTCTTCTTTTTTTTGCTTCTTTTTTATATATATTATTATTACTATTATTATCGTGATTTATTTTTCTTTATGGTAGTTTTATTTTATTTATTGTTTTAATAAACCATCTATAGATGATGATGATGATGATATGAGGGGGTGGACATAGTGATTATGTTTACGTTATTTATCCAATATTAATTAAGAAATAAACAATCAATTCAACTTCACTTATATTTGTATATATATATAAACATTATTAAAAACACACAATATAGTTAAGTGAATAGACATTAGATGAGACAAATTTGGTCTAAACAATAAATAAATAAACATACATATTTACTTCAGTTAACCAAAAGGAAACATTGTTAATTCACTTTGGATTGCATTATTCTGGTATTGAATATTGAATAAATTATATACATATATAAACAATATAATGTAAGTACGCTATTGTAATATATATTTTTTCATAATTATATGTTACTTACTTATTTAATTACTTACTTACTTACTCTTGTTATTCCCATTGGAGCATAGGCCTCCAACTAGCGTTCTCCAACTCATTCTGTCCTGAGCCTTCTAATTTTTGTTCATTCTTCTCATGTTTGTTCCCATTTTTCGGTGTGATGTGCTTTTTTTTCTCATCTTCCTCTTCTCGTTTAACCTTGAGGATTTCAAGTGAGGGCTAAACTTGGAATCCCTCTGGGGCTACTGTTGGTTCCACGCCCGGATAAAAGAGATGAATTGGGCATAGGGTTAATGATCCCATCATGTAGAAAACTAAATCGCTAGAAAAACGCTAATTATATGGTAATTATGTTCAATTTAACTTAGTATTATGATATATAGTGATAAATCTGTATGACATAAAATGATAAGCTATACTGAATAGCTTAATTTTTAGTGATAACGGATGTGCATTTCATTCGTGTCGAATATTTATTTTTATTTATTTGAACAGATGAATAGTGGTACAAAGAGGCGCTGCATACATATGTGCCACATGAATCACTTGGTTTGCGAGTGGGCTGTGATACTGCACGGGTGCCCAAACTGAATTAGGTGGTTTTCTTAGGAGGCTACACCCAGAGCCTTCGACCTAAAGGTCTGATCCATAAGGCAGTTGAGCATCGCAGGGAGATGCAGTTCCATGGTATTCGGTGACCAACAATGGATTCATGTGCCATTTGTTCCTTCACGATCCTAGAGTCCATGTGCACAATTGGTTTTTGAATCAGGATTTGACAACTCCCTATGGTGGATCTTCATATCCACCAAACCGGTTAAAACGCCGGACATTCGCTTTCCGACCTCTTAATCTCGTAAACAACGCCCTCACCGAGATAAGGTAGTGAATAGAACTTTCCTTGTAGTGACTTTATACACGAGAACATTTCGAGATAGAAGGCAGACTGTCCCCAACGTCGTCCGTACCAGGGCATTTGGGGTCATCTCGAATGTAAAACAGTTATCACTGACAGGCAATAGAATATGATAGCTCAGCATTGCAAATGAGTTGAAATCAAATATGTGTACTATTGGGTGGTATACTGATAAGAAACAATTGTGTAGTACTTTCTGAATTTCGATGGATTTCTTTAACTAAAATTACTTCATGATATAAATTAGAATATATCAGAAATCATAATTCTTCACCCCTCAGTTTATAAGTCACAGTACAACTCAGTTTTATAATTCTCAAATTCATTTCATCACATTTAATAGAAGCTATAGTTAACAAGTCAATCTATGACTCTATATAAAATGTTCTCATATCTACTTTATACAGTTGGATGGTATATGATTCCAGTAGGAAGAAATCGTAAGTATCACATTAGTAGGTATATATCCAACCGGAATTGTAAACATTCTACGCTACTAATTATTGTTAATCATATAGGTCAAGACAATTATTCTATAGGATACTATGATGAATTCAGCTAAGTACACAATATTTTAACAAATTTCAACAAATGTAATCTATTTCATGTATTGAATATCAGTGATAAATTGCATATTATTTATCTATCCTACTAATCTAATAAAATGAATCAGTTATATCCAGTCATGTCCATCTATTCAACAAAAATCAATGTTTGTACAAACCAATGGAAGATCTTTTTAGAATAGTTAAATATTTAATGAGTAACTTATTTTGAGGTTGTTTTTTTTCTTCATTGTACATCTATGTACATGGAATATAAATACATGCTTATCGTTACTCTTGAGAAGTGGCAATAACTGTCTGTATAAAATCTCTTAGAAGTAAAAATATCCAAAGGAAACCTGATTAATTAGTGTAATTTGCAGAACATTGTTTAAGTCAATTAATCTATTTCTCAGTGTTATCTTATTGGTCACTACAAATTAAACTTTGGTTAAATTTTCAATCACATTATCACTTTCTTAGTTTTTTACTTTTCAAGATTCATATTTTGGTAAAGATATAGAAGTCCCCTATTCAGTTAATATTCACTGTAGAAGAACTGAAGGTCAGGAGGCACTATACAAATGTTTTTTTCTTGTTTAAAGATCTACTTCAGTACACATTCCAAATACCTTCTTCTAGAACAAATTCAGTACTCTACGGTCTTTTAACAGTCATAAGATATTTCAATTACAATTTCACTCTCTCGAATAATAATCATGGCCGTATACTTCATAACAGTTTCTTAGACGTCATAAGTATTCAACTCCTAGACGGCTAACAGAAAATTGAAAGAAAGTTTTACTTTTAAGATAAGTTTATGGATACAATTTATAAGCATTTATAATATCACATGTGACATTAAGATTATGGAAGCTTTCGAAAGGCAAGAGAAATCAAACACTGTTCAATCTGAACTATAAAAATATAATAAATTATTTCCTAGAATTTGCCTAAAAGATTTTTAATGATTTCGATCGATCAAAGTATTATCAATATTCTACTGGCTTCTGAAGACTTTTTTTTCAAACAACTGTCAAGGTCTTCTAACAACTAGTGATTAATATCTATTATTGGACAAAGTGGGAGGTCTTTCTTGTGTATCTTCGGGAGCTCATATAATTTCGAGAGAAAGATCCCGATTTCAAAGTTAATTTTCCAAAATCCATGATAAAAGTCATGTCATTTAAGTTTTTAGTAACACTATGATAATACTAAATAAGGTTCGTAATATACCAGAAATTCACGAAAACATCGAACTGTAAGTTACTGAATAGCAATATTATACTTGACTAAATAATATCGTGTTTGAAGCAGTATGTAAAGTTTATAGATTCACTCCCATATCAAGTTATTAATACTTACGGCTAAAAATTCCCAAACTAGGAAAAAATAGGACTATATGGCATTTCAATTCTTAGCACTTCTCTAGATGATATCAGTATATGTTAAAAACTGCCTTCCTGAAGAATACTTACATATAAATGTTAGTAATAATTATTAAATGGAAAGTAATTTACTTAGGGCTATATTGCTATGTAGCAGTGAAGGTCTCATATGAGACTGAAGGTTCGCCATTGATATTTTGGATGGTTCAGCATTACTTTAGCAAGTTTTGCTGACTGTACATGAGCGAAATTGGTTTGCTGGTTAACCGATTTCATTCATACTGGTGGGTGCTTTTCCGTGTTCTCAAGAGCCATTGTCATTGGGACATTGTAAGGCATGTCGCCATTAATGAGTTTGACTGTCGTGTAAGCGGAATCGGTCAACTTTGGCCTATTCGAGCTGTGCATAATTATATTATATATCATAATCTATTTATCGTTAAATAGATCAACACTAATTAAATAGAAATCTGATCATTTTGCAAGTGTAACTACTAAGTATATTGATTTTGGAAAAGTACTTCAAAATATTGATTATGAAGAATATATATGAAATCTCACACACACATACACTTAATCAAGTGATCTTGTCACCAGTTAGTATTCATTTTCTATAATGATAACTAAAGATCTAATACAAGGACTCTTTATTTATATCCCTTCAACCAGTCAATCAATAATCAATCGATTTTCTGATCAATATGACACTTAGGGTCATGTGGTTATATGTATTGAGTGTCCAAGCCATTAATCACATAATTCAATGTTAATGAATATAAAACCTGTGAAAATTGAACACATAAATGATGTTATGATTTCAGCAAAGTTACGTTGACTGGTTGTGTTTCCATAAATTAATACAAATTAAAACAAAAGCGTATATAGTACTTTCATCTTTTAGAAATTGGAATTGAAGGAGGTTTTGTGAAAACCTGTTTGATTTGTAAGAAGTGTTCATCACAAACTGATGTTAGTTGAGGTGACGTTAAAAACTATGGAGCAGTGGACAGTTGCTTCATCATGCCAAAATAGATTGATCAATTGCAGTCCTAAATACGAATAAGAAAATTGAAATAATCAATATATACAAATCATGATATTTCATCGTTGCTATTCTGTATAAACACCAAATCAAAATTTAAGAACACATAATCTGAGACTAAAGGTTTTAGTATATAAACCCTGACTAGAAATGAAATATAATGTTAATGAATCATAACAAGTTATCCCCAGATTTTTAATGAGAAACTATCACCAACAAAGTCCAACTACAAATGGCAGTGTATAATACTTGATAAATATCACATATTAGTTTAATTTATAAATATGAACAGATGGTTCCTAACTCTATGAACTGGTTATACACTTTGCTAGAATGTGTTGGGTACAATTCTCTTTGGTTAGATTATGAATGCTCATTTCGACAGAGTTCCATACTCAGATTAAACAGCTACCAAGTATTCTCAGTTACCAATAATCATCTAACCAATATCAATCAATGATGTAACCTATTAAATGATAAGGATTAGTCAATCACCTTTAAACAGTATGAAACTTCTTCCATTTATTTTGCATGAAAACGAAAGGAAAGGAGATCAGTTGTACTTTTAAGAAGCTGTTGATTGAATTTTAAATCAATCTAATCAACGATCACACGTTTATTTGATGAACACCACTGGTGTATACTTTTCTATTTCTATACATCTATGTGCACATTTCATTTTGACTACTGGAACTCAGTCAACATGAATACATTTAATGTAAATAGGATAGTGATTATATTGCTTAAATCACTAATGTAATAAGTTAGTGGTTGATGGTGGAGGTAGTCAACAGAAAACCCTAGACCCAGGTTTTGTGTTGCTTGTCACTCGTCAACAAGGTATACCCATAATCTTGAGGGAACTATTGCACCCTGACATCTTATTCCATTTGACAGATCATTTCTGTAGTGATCACCTATTATTTCTTTAAAGGATATCAGTAGAAAATAATATACAGACTATCACAATTGTAGTTCTTGAGTTACTTAGTAACCAGAATCACATTAAATTGTAAACATTTTAGGAAACTGTGATAAGTACATAGAGCTAACAGATATAATTAAGCATTGGAAACAAATTTAAAGCAAGTAAATTTATACTAATTAATGAATGTTCAGAAAAATGATGATCCAGGATCTTGAATAGACTCCTGTTTGAAGTCCTGTATCAGTCAGTGAGTAAAACTAAGTTAAGGATGTATATCATATAATAAGTGATTTATCATTTCCAATTAAATATGTATGTACTGGATGATACCATGTCAAGCTCACATAACTTATTCTAGCCGCTGGACAAACTAATTTATTCATTCTTCTCCTAAAGTCGCATTTTGACCTTGTCAATTATTCTGTTATCAACCTTGAATGTTTTTATAGGATCGTATGTGTGTTAATTAATATTACCCTATTCACACCATATATCTGTAATTAATTTTGTTCTGACCATATTATTGAGTAACGCTTGGTTAAATGGAATTGGCTCACTCTCCTTCCCCACTGCGCGTCGTGTCGTTTCATTTCGTTGTTCCGATCATTTGTCTGAATCAACGATTGTATGAAATATACGCATTCAGAATTCATTCTCATATTTGAATTATTTATTTTTGTTATTCACTAACGCGATTTAAGTCGATAATTATATACCATGGTAACCATGATACATGTTTCGATAACAATCAACAAACGGTGCAATTGAAGTCAAATACAGGAACACACTAAGGTGATGAACTCGTCAATAACATTATCGTCCGATCGAATTGAAGTCAGATAAAGATCCAATCAACACAGACTTATAAATCTACTAACAATAAATGAATGAATTAAATACTAACGACTTTCAAATTCTGTCTGTACTCAATGTATTAATTAACAAACCTCTCATGACTATGAATCGAGTAATCAGTTCAAGTGATCATACTGATTTCTAATTTGTAGCTTTTAATATTCAGAATATTAGTTAATATATATTGTCTACCTTATTGATTTTAGTGTAGACATAAGAGTTCAAATAATTTTCGAGAACTGAATTCATTTCATAATGGGAATCTGTGAAGATTGTGGTAATTTTAACAGTTGAATTCATGAATTGATCTGAGTTATTCGACCATTGAAAACCTAGAAGTACTAGACGGCTGTCTCGCCCTAATATGAGATTCCTCAGTAGTGTGCATCCAAGATCCCTCATGTGGGACTCGAACGCAGAACCTTCGATCTCGCGTGCGGACAATCAATTTTAGATCAATGACCCGGAACACTACAATGGTAATGTTTAACTTCAAGCGATCCGTGATCATGCACAGTCCTTCATTGATTGTCTGAGGTGGATAACTGTATCACATCCAACACGGATCAGACTTCACTGGTCACGGTTTATCACTAATACTTCAAGAAATTCATCTTGAACTTAGTCACTAATGAGTGACGCATGAATTCAAGGGTTAGATTTTTTTCAAAAAATTTTATATCATCGATTAAGAAATAGATTCCTGTTCAGCTAATATCTAATATGAAACTGCTAGACTAATTAATAAATAGCCTATGGTCATTTAACATTTATTATCATTTCCTGTAATCTTTTGAATCGATCAATGAAGAACGGAACTCATTATGGTTTTTTAGTAGTAAAGAGTGAATTGTGGAACTTCTCGAATTTTCGTAGTTATAAATCAATAACTGACCTTAGGTTGACCACTATTGGAAAATTAGAAGCCCTGGACAGCTGTTTTGTACTATTATGGGACTCTTTAGCAGTACATATCCATGACCCTGCAGTCGGGATTCGAATTCAGAACCCATGAACGACTAACCTCCAAATTACCGAACTCACTAGGAGAAAACTCAAAGATATCATTCCTGAAGTCATATTGAGAAGCGTTGGTTCATGGAGTTTAACCATCACAGGTAGTGCAAGATGGTCACGCAATACCGCGAATTGATTGCAGTTGGACACTAACGCTGTTGGATACACAGAAACAGAAGCACTGAATAGCCATCTCATTTAAGTATGAAACTCCTAAGAAATGCATCCATGACTCCACATGCAAAGAATGATCCCAGGACCTTCAGTCTCTTGCTCAAAAGCCTAAACTTTGAAACGCAGAGTAGGGATCCGACGGTGTTAACTTATTTAACTTAAAACAATCCACGATTGATTCCTATTTGAAGGGTCGTTGATGCGCAATGCTGAGTCACATACTGAGATGAAACAATCTTTTAACGCTTTCCGGTTTTCAATGTTGGTCTATCTTAGATAGGTTCATGATTTTAATGAAATTCTGTAATAATCATCTATTCACCAGTGACAGCTCTATTTTCAGTATCGTTTAGTTGTATAAGTTTTCGTGATGTGCACATTTTTAGAGATACATTTTTGTCAAGAACTAACACCAACTTGATAACTACCATAAAGACTCAAAACCTGGAAGAGTGGAGAAATCACAAAGTTTGCAATTTTAGAGTAGATACAGTAATTTTTAAAAAAATAACCAAGTTAATTAACGTCAATGGTGTACAATTTTCAGGCCTTCATTTAACCACAATTCTTTCACATTATTGAATTAGAATGTACTAGTTCGCATTTTTGAATTCTAGTCTATATATTACTTACTTACGCCTATTACTCCCGATGGAGTATAGGACCTCGATCAGCATTCTCCAACCCACTCTGTCTTGGGCTTTCCTTTCCAGTTCTATCCAGTTTATATTCATTTTTCTCATGCCTGTCTCCATTTCTTGGCGTAATATGTTCTTTGGTCTTTCTCTTCACGTTTGGCCTTGTGAATTTCACGTGAGGATTTTCCAGTCTATATATTTAGAATCAGTGAATTACCATTTTTAATCCAAACTTCACTGATATAAATACAATTCACTTATTCTTAAAGAAATTCATTTTCATGATGAAATACTGTTGCTTAAACAATTGACTTATCAGGGTATTAGATTAATCTTGATCATAATGGTCATTGAAATAAAGATACAAAGACAAAAATGAAATATCCCACTACTAACATTTTTTTTTCTAATTACTTCCGTTATTTGCGAAAAATTGTAACTATGCTACAATGAAAAATTATTGATCATTTCTGGAACCGGAAATAATACTGAAATGAAATTTTTATTATCAAAAATACATGAAATATGCCGGGTGGGGAGTGGGTATCAATAGAAAGATATACGGTGAAAAGATAACCAAGAATTATGGTTATTAATGCTTCATATAAGTATATTTGAAAATATGGTTCACAATTACTTTTCCATCAAACTTAGAACTAATACTTCATCTTATGAACAGAGTATTCAACAAAGTGTTAATCTGATAAACAGTACATGATCAATTGAGAGTGAACTGAAATTTCGTGATGTCATTCAAGACCACTGATATGAAACTAACTTGGGTACATACAGCCTAGAGGAAGTTTCTGTATATTAAAAACTTGATGCAGGTAATTCTCGAGTCAATTGTCTATGCAGATCAGATGTTGCTGAGGATAATCTCGACCAACTGACTAATAAGATCAAATTCAACGTATATTTAGATATCTTAAAATTGTATATTTTTCTACTACTACTTTCTTGATGTGTCTGGTTACACTTCCAGTGAATGCTGATTGGATAAGATGCTTCTCAATGTTTTCAGAGCATTTCTTAGCTTTTTTTGAAGAGTTTTCTGGTTCTCCCCAACAAATAATTCTCTGGTATTACGTGAGACATGAAAGCCAATCTATTGAAGTTAATCGATATTTCCATCCGTCGTTTGTTTCTTTAACATGGAATGTAACTCTAATAAAAACTATGGATACATTAAATTAGATCTTTTATATTCTATTACAGATATAAACTACACTTCACTTCCCATCTCTACACATTAAATCTGTGAATTAAATTTGTGAGGGAATACAATCAACATTAAATCATAAAACAATGAACAAAAAGAATTTGTCAAAACCACCATCTTTACGAAAATCGTCTAAAACTGAATTGACACCAGAACAAATAATGAATCTTAAAACAGAACTTTATCAATTGGCTCAATCGAATATTATTCCTTTACCGAATGAACCGGATTTTGCAACATGTGATGATACGTAAGTGTTTGTTGTTCATTTATATTCACTTGGTATTGTTGACTTGAATCTTCTCATTGATAGATTCTAATAGTAGCCACTATTCATCTTTGCTTAGACTGCTTAGAGATTAAGGTGATATCGATGTAATACATGGAGTATGCACATATGCCAATAAGTGACTGATCAATTACAGTCCTAAACATCAATAGGAACAATCAAGTAAACAATACAAAATAAGTGTAATTCACTTGGTTTAAACTTTCTAAGTTCACTGACGGAGTGTTAGTTGTCCACTATTGAGAAGTGGTGTGTTAGAATAGAATATCTGTTCAGTGCTCGCTAGTTCCCTTTGGTTGTTTGGTTGTATTTACCGATACCAACTACAAATAAAAAAATCCCTTTAAACATCCTATATTAATAACAATCCAATTCAATTTACTATACCTAATAATTAATATGAGAGGACAAGTAATGGGTGCATTCCAAGTGAGAACAGGAATCAAACAAGGTTGCTTACTCTCACCCTTTCTCTTTCTTATGGTGGTTGACTGAATTATGAATTCTTCCACACCTGAGGGGAAGCACGGAATCCGGTGGACAGCTCGGAATCAACTAGAATATTTGAACTCTTTAGATGACCTAGCTTTTCTATCTCATACACACGAACAGATTCAGATGAAGACAGCCAGTGTAGCAGCAGTAAACTTCAACATACACAAAGAAAAAAGGACATCGTCAAATACAAACGGATAACATCAACTCAATCTAACTTGATGGGGAAGCCCTGGAGGATGTGGAACCTTTCACTTGCCTAGTCGCCATCATCGATGAACATGGAGGATCTGAATCAGAAGTAAGAGAGAGGATTGGCAAATTTAGGACAGCGTTCCTATAATTGAAGGACAGATGGAACTCAAACAATATCGAAATAACAATCTTCAATACGAACGTCAAGACAGTTCTATTCTACGGAGCTGAGACGTTGAGAAATACTACAGTCATCATCAAAAATGTAGAAGTATTTATAGACAATTGTCTACGCAAGATACTCAATATCCGTTGACCGGATGCAATCAGCAACAGCCTTCTGTGAGAGAGGACGAAACAGCTTCCAGCTTAAGAAGAAATTAGGAAAAGACGTTGAAAGTGGTAGGTGGGACATCCACCCCAGAAATCATCAAACTGCATCACGAGGCAAGCATTAATTCGGAATCCTTTAGGGAGGCGGAAAATAGGAAGGTCAAAGAATATACTGTGTCGGAAATAGGAAGTAGACATGAAAAGGATGAATCGCAACTGGAAATAACTGTTTGCTGATCAATTGTATAATCATTTAGAAATTTTTTATTATTTTCTAATATTAAATTTCAATAATGTTACTGTTAAATGATCTGAACATGGGTTTCATCGTGATTAGAGTATTCTTCTTCTAGAGATTTTGACATTTAACGTCTAACATTAAACTCACATACACTACCACTAATCTTTTTGGGTTATGTGAGGACGGTCGATGGGTGAACTCGAGGAAGCTTTAGGAAGCCATTCTATCCAATGATCTTTTGGAAGGATATTGTAATATCTCTAAGTGTAGCTTTCCGATTAGATGATGCAAATAACCCCCTCTGTGCGGATTGGATAACTATAATGATGACAGTTTCGTACTATAATTTAACACTGTCTGGAATAACATTCCTTTCACTAGTCTTCTGTCTTATCATTATGAATTGAAAGGGTTCTAGCATTTAAGTGCTCAAGTTATACATGGGATATCAAGAATATAAGCATCTACATATAACAGGTTATAATCAATTCCTTGTCGCACTAACATTTTTTACTCAATTCAATTACCTAATAAGAACCATAGTTACATCATCTTGTTTGAATTCTTCCAATCAAGAAAACTACAATCTACTTTATACACCTGATATTTATTTTTACTCTCTTTCTCCTCATCTAATTATTAGATTAACTCGATTTCTTGTGGCAAGAAATTATGTTGTTGAAGATGCTTTTAAACAATTGAAAACGGCAGTAGAATGGCGTCGAGAATATCAGCCATTGACAATTCAATGTAAATGGTGTCATGAAACACCAGGATTTCATTCAGTTGTGAGTTATTATTGTTGTTTGTTTATGTACTTCACAACATTCTCGGAAGATTGATTATGCTGGATTATTATTTGATTTCGAAGCGTTAATTGTTATGTTGAACACCATGACCAGTGTTCATATAAAGCAGATAAGAGTTTTATTTAAATTTACGTTAATGATTCCGCTCAATATGTCAACGAGTTGATTGATTTCTGAACTCGTTATCTGAGTCCTAACTACTTACGCCTGTTACTCCTCGCGAAGGAGCATAGGCTGCTCACTAGCATTCTCCATCCAACCCTGTCCTGGGCAATCCTTTGCAGCTCGTTCCAGTCAATATTCATCCTTTTCATATCTGCTTCTATTTCCCGATGTAATGTGCTCTTTGGCCTTCCTCTTTTCCTCTTCTCTTCAAAATTCCAAGTTATGGCTTGCCTCGTGATGCAATTTGATGATTTGCTTAGTATATGTCCCATCCATTTCCATCGTCTTTTCCTAATTTCCTCTTCATCTGGAATGTGGTTTGTTCTCTCCCAGAGTACGCTGTTACTGATGGTTTCCGGTCAAAGGATGTTGAATATCTTGTGAATATGGCTATTTATAAATACGTGTATTTTCTTGATGATGATTGTAGTAGTTTTCCAAGTCTCAGCTCCGTACAGTAGAACTGCCTTGACGTTCGTATTGAAGATTGTGACTTTGATATTGTTTGACAGTTGTTTTGAGTTCCACATGTTCTTCAATCATAGGAATAATGTCCTTGATTTGCCAATCCTCGCCTCTACGTCTGCATCTGAACCTTCTTTTTCATCGACAATGCTTCCCAGGTGCGTGAATGATTCTACATCTTCCAGAGTTTTGCCATCAAGAGTGATTAGATTGTTGTGCTCCGTGTTGTATTTGAGGACCTTGGTTTTCCCCTTATGTATGTTGAGGCCTACTGATGCAGAGACTGCTGATGCACTGGCTGTCTTTATCTGCATTTGTTAATGTGTATGCGATAGGAGGGCTAGATCATCTGTGAAGTCCAAATCGTCTAATTGGTTCTGAGCTGTCCACTGTATACAATGTTTTCCCTCAGAGGTCTTCATAATCCAGTTGACCATCAGAAGGAACAGAAAAGGAGAGTGTTAACATCCATGTCTGATTCCGGTCCTTACTTGGAATGTATCTGTCAGCTGTCCTCCATGCATGACTTTGTGGTGTATTCCTTCGTATGAATTCTGGATTGTGTTGACAACCTTATCAGGTACACCATGGTGTGTCCTTCTTTCCAGTCCATCGGCACTTGTTCCTTCTCCCAAATCTTTTTGAATAGAAAGTAAAGCATGCTTGTAGTTACTTTGATGTCTGACTTCAGTGCTTCAGCTGGTATATTGTCGTGTCCTGCTGCTTTCCTGCTCGTGATTTGTCTCATGGCCATTGTGATCTCTTCCGTCGTTGTTGGATTGACATCTAAAGGAAGATCTGTGTGTGCTGCTTCGATGTCCGGTGGGTTCATTGAGGCCAGGCTATTCAGGAGTTGGTCGAGGTGCACTACACATCTGTTCCTCTGCTGTTGAATTTTAGTGATTGGTCTGCCTTCTTTGTCTTTGACCGGTCTCTCTGGTTCACTGTATCTCCCTGATAGTTTCATAAAGTTGTTTCATATTTCCTTCTCTTGCAGCTTCTTCCACCGTCTTTGCTAGTTCTTCCACATATTTCTTCTTGTCGGCTCTAATGCTCCTCTTGACTTGCTTGTTTGCTTCTATGTACTCAGCTTGTGCTTGAAATTTCTCTGTTCGTGTTCGGCTGTTGTTAATTGCCGTCTTCTAGTTCTTCCTTTCTTCGATTCTGTCCAGTGTTTCTATGGAGATTCATTCATTATGATGATGCTTCTCGAGATCCAGAACCTCCTGACACGTTGAAGTTAAAGCTTCTTTGATACCTTTCCAGTTTTCCTCCATGGTACTTTCTTCTTCCTTCAGTAGATCCTGTAAGACTTAGAACCTGTTGTTGAGAGCTATCTTAAATTTATTGAGTTTATCAGTATCTCGAAAGGAGGCCGTGTTGAACCTTTGCATTGCTGTTTCACCAGTTGTCCAGTTCTTTTTCGGCTTCAGTTTTAAATTTGCCATAACTAGATGGTGATCTGAAGCTATATTAGCTCCTCTCTTGATTCTCACATCTTCCATTGTCCTTCGAAATTTTTTATTGATGCCAATATGATCTATCTGGTTCTGTGTAGTGTGGTCCGGTGAGATCCATGAAGATTTGTGTATACGTTTGTGTGGATATATTGTGCCGCTTATGGTCAATTTGTTGAATGCACACAGATTTGCAAATCTTTCTCCGTTTTCGTTTTTCTCTCCCATTTCATGTCGTCGCATGATATCTTCATATCCGGTGTTGTATGTTTCGAGTTTTGCCCTTAGATCTCCCATCAGAATGGTGAGGTCCTTTCTTGGGAACTTCGCTTTGATTGATTGTAGCCACTCATAGAAGTGATCTTTAATGTCGTCGTTTTTATCATTGTTGGGTGCGTAACATTGGATAATATTCATTGTGATCCCCTCCTTCTTTGTCTTGAATGTTGCTTTGATGATTCTGGATCCGTGAGATTCCCTTCCTACAAGTGCATTTCGTGCTACGTTGGACAGCATTAGAGCAACTTCCTGAGTGTGTTGAGCATTGTCCTTTTTGTGGCCAGAGTATAGCAGCATCTCTCCCGTATTTAGCCTTTTCTGTCCAGCTTGGGTCTAATGGGTTTCACTGATTCCCAGTACTGCCAATTTGTATCTCCTCATTTCCGTTGCCATTTGACTGATCTTCCTGGTCTCCCACATTGTTCGAACGTTCCGTGTACCATCCTCCTTTATCCGTGCTTGAGACCAGTAGTAACTCTGGAAGAGCTACAGGAGGAGGTTTTAGCTGAGTTATTTACTCTTTATTCTTTTGAAGTGATATGTATTGAGTTAAAACCTCATAGCGAACGTGAAAATTAGAAGCAAGCAAGTACATCTAACTGGAATAAGTTACAAATAGGACAATACTACTGCCTACTATCTACTAATACAATAATCAAATTAGTTGATGAAGTTTACTGTTGCTGTTGTTGACAAATAACACCAAACAGAGTACTTTTATACTCTAGTTAGAGATAGCCTATGCTTGTTCCAAATCAAAAACGATTCGAATATTATTCTAACACGAAACATGGTGTGGGCTAACTCTATGGACTGGACAACTAGTAATCGAAGAAGCTGAGGAGTCAAAAACTCAAACAAAACCAAATCTGCATATAGTAACAAATACAAATTCTACATATAACAGAATTAACGAACTGAAAACGAGAACACCCAATCAGATAACAACATAAGTCGATGAGCAAATATTACTTATTACTTACGCCAATTACCCCTCGTGGAGGAGCATAGACCGCTCATCAGCATTCTCCATCGAAATCTGTCTTGAGCAATCCATGGGAAAATAGAGACTGGAAAAAATTCACTGTAGACTGACTTATTAAGAAATAATAAAAGAAACAGAATAAATTAGTCTTTACAACACTGTAATGGGTTTAAATAAACTTTTTTGATTGGGATCATGAATCGACTAGTTTTAGACCACTATTGAAAACCTGGAAACATTGAACGATCATTTCGTCCTACTGCGAGACACCTCGGAAGTTCATATCCACGATCCCGCTCGCGGGATTTCAACCCAGGGTATGCAATCTAGCGCTCGAACGCTTAACCTCCAGATCACTAAGCCGGCATCCACAATAGGACGAGACGGCCATCCAATGCTTCAATTCATGATGTCAGTCAAAAGCTTAATAATCTCCACAACCCTATACTGCTAAATAAAATTTCCATCTTATTAAACATTTGATATCTTAGATTGTTTCATTTATTTTTATCTTTTCTATTCTTCGCTCTCATTTTAATCAGCGACAAGTTGGGTTCGATCGTGAAGGTAGACCATTGATGTATGCTTGTTTTGCTCAATGTCAAACATTGAAAAATAATCCAGACGATGTTGTTTGCCATATGGTTTATCTTATTGAACATGCAAAACGAAGTATACAAACCTCAGTGAATACATTGGTATTTATTATTGATTGTACAGGTAAGATTCAAATGTACTACTTAAAGATAATACGTTTTTTAAAAACAACTTCAATGTAATGAGAATCACAATAAACATCCTATTCGTGACGTGTGTTAGTGACTCTCTAGACGATTGACCTAGTAGATAACGCGTTGAACATTTCAAGTGAAAGTTACTGTGTTCAGTGCTAGTGAAGTAAGTGTATTCAGCTGACGAGTCCCAAATAGGAAGTTATTTATGTTCTATTAGACACAATCCGTCTATTTCATAAAACTTCTAGAACTTTGCAAGGTTATAACCAGTCGAAAATGTCATAATGTTATAATCCTTCAAGATGCTCCTCATGTTTGATAAAACATCTGCTCTATCTATATTTCTGTTGTTCCAAATATAACTAGTTCTCAAAAGTCTATCCAATGAGATGCTCTGAAGAGTATGGAATTACATAAGAATTTATTCTAACTAAGCATCAGAAGAACTTATCTTTATTGATTCATGTTTTATAAGTACAATTTTTATTAAAATAAATGAATATTTCATGCGTTTTCTTAAGTGTTCATATGATACTGTGATGTGTTTTACTGGTATCGAGAGATATAAGTAGTATATATCATCAATCGAAAGTTAAATGCCTGGTGGTAGAAGGTTAAGAAGTTCGAAGAAAAGAGGATGGGAATAGAGAATGATTGGAATAATGATAACTGAGACGATTGGTCGACATTCTGCAGATGAAGTCTTTATTGTACAGTTCTAGGATTTTACTAAGATGTTCTGTAATTTCATATTCAAACACATTCTGTTGTCCCTATTTGTGTTCTCGTTCACTACAATATCATCACGAATTAATGATATCAGAACAGATTTTTCTCCTTCTTACACTTAAATGTCCTAAGCATTCAATAATGGTATTTTTTACAAAGTTATTTGTTAGGTAAATGGCATCCGATAGTGATTCTTGAACTTCATATCTAAACTGAAAATGTATTATTACATGGTTGATTAGTTCAGCAGTGTAATATCTTATGACCATGATAGGTTTACAGCAAAAAGTAGACAGGAGTCCTTATTTGACCTACATTTTGCACGAGTTGACGCTCAGGAACAAGGTATATCTACAATCTTGAAGGAACTGATACTCCTGCAGAATTCGAATCTATATGATCCGAGTTTATAGTTTAAAAAGCTATTGGATAGTTGTTTTGTCAAAGTGCAGGACTTCTCAGAAGTCCACATTTTCTACTCTTATCTAAGGAAAAACTTGAATCTTTAAGTCATATGGCAAATCCTAGACGTTTTTACCAGTGAGTTATCATCTAGTGTCTTACATTTCTAACTTCAATCAACTTGTCATATTCCGCAATCATCTTCTTCCACACCGATGAGCAGTTTCTTACATTCAATATAACTGAACTACACTCTTCATGATCTCTCACTGAGACGTCGGAACTTGCCTCTTGAGACCAATCACTATTAAAAAAATAATCACTAAATAAACAAGCATCATATTTGCATAACACACAATCACATTTATCCTCTCGTTTTAAATTATATTGGTAATTTCATAGTTGAGTTCATGAGTCAAGCTAGACTACTATAAAAAACCTGGAAGCACTAGACGGTCAAGTCGTCCCAGTATGGGACTGCTCAGGATTTGGCATCCAAAACCCGTTATCACATTCTTAAAGAGTTAATAATGCTTCATTTGTTGTCATCTCCATTTCGCCTTAGTATGGGACAGAAGATGGTTTTGTGATTTTGTGAATCAATAAAATCATAATGGAGATTTTGTAGAAATGCTAATAATTTTAATAGTTGAATTCATAAGTCGATCACAGGTAGACCACTATTGAAAACTTAGAAGCACTGTACAGCTATTTCGTCCTAGTAAAAGACTCCTTACCAATGCTCATCCATGATCCTACACGCGGAACGTGAACCTATCTCAATGTGTTGTATCTAGAAGGTTGTTTATGATATACCGCGTATAACGTGAGCACCAGAATGCCAGAAGAAAACATTCATCCACTAATCCCAGCATTTCCATAATGGTCCAACATCAATTCACTCATGAATTCAACTATTCAAATAAATTTACTCTCCACAAGACTCCCTAATCCCTCTTTGATTATATTGACAAAATATTGTTTTATTTCTCGTTTGTTTGTTTGTCTTTTCTCATTTATTCACAATTAGGTTTAACTGTTGCTTGTTGTAATCCGAAAATTGGCAAGAAATTTGTACAAACATTTGCTGATTGTTATCCAGAAACTTTATATAAATTTATATTAATTAATCATGGTACATTTTTTCATGGTATATGGAAAGCAATTAAAGTTTTTATTGATCCAAATACAGTAAAAAAAGTGAAATTAATTCGTAAAGAAAAAATTCAAAGAACATTTAATGAAATGTTTACCCCAGATACAATAACATGGTTATTAGATGAAATGAAATTAAATAAAATCAATATCACAGAAAATCAATTAAAATTTTGGGAATCACCACATTCATATGAATTACATGATCCACGTGGTACACATGAATATATTCAACGTTGTATAGAACCATTAAAATTATTCATTGAACAACAACGACAGCAACAACAACAACAACACCAGCGACAGCAACCACAGCAACAGTCTAATCAAAAATCATTTATATTAACATATGATAATTTAGGTTTAAAAACTCATATGCCACATACAAATATTATGGATTGTTTAAATAAAACATTAAAACAAGTTAAAATTCAATCATTTTATAATGGTAAATATATTAAACCAAATAAAGATGAATTACAAGCATATGGAGTTGATATCAATGATAATCTATCTGAAATTAGTGGAGGATCTGAAGAATAATAATGATGATAATAATGAAATGATTTAAAATATGCTCCTTTTCATCAATTGATCTTCTTTTATTATTAATCTTAAAATTCTATTTGATCTTTCTATTCTGTTCATTTAACTTCAATGATCATTGTTCAATATAAATTTGTATATTGAACTCTTGTGTAATTTTTTTTTGCTTGAATGTATATTTCTGATATTTTAATTGAATTTTAAAAAAATTAGGCAAAAACTATAATTTATGCATCTAAACATCAGCTGGTGACTTTGGCGCCGTGACATTGAAAACCATGAGACGTTTCTGATTGGTTCGTCTGTAAATTATAGTATCGATACTATTAGCCAATCAGAAAACAGTTAATATAGAGTAAATATATATTATACAAAGTCAAAGAATTAAAGTGGATACACTTCTTTTATATGGTTCATAAACTTCTCAAGGTTAGAAATAGGTTTAGAAGTTCTGAAATCGTAATGTATGCAGTAGAGGAACTTATCCATATGGCTCCATAATTGTCGGCTTCTCGAGCCATGCTAATATCGTAAAACTCTTTCAGTCTCGACCACATAATTTCACTATTGTTTTTGTGCACTCCGGTTGTTGGATTCACAAAATGCCGCTTGTGAACAACGAAACGATGCACATAACCAAGTCTATATAGGCATCTGTACGCTCTCCAATCCTCTGTATACATTGTTGTGCCTGACTGTACATATTCCTGTATAATTGGTATTATTGTCATTGCCTGTCGGTTTCTGACCCGCTCGAAGTGTTCCTTTTGAGAAGACCTGTCGTAAATTCCAGGCACTTTTGATGTATATGTATGAGAGCGCTACTTACCCAGTCTATTTTAATACTACGTCTTCTGTTAAATCTTCGTTTCCTGGCTATTGTATCGTCTATTTCGACGATTCTCTCAACTCCCTCCAAAAAACCTAGCGTAACCCTTGTCGTTTTTGTTGCATATATATCTCTACAATACACATACCACTGAATATCCAAAGCTTCAGTAACATCTGCAAATGTTGCAGTTAGTGTTACTGGCGCTTTTATTATCCAAATCGCAACAATTATCATGATTTTCTTTAGTTTCAATCGGGATCAAGCGGGAAAAGTTCCTGTTCATTCAGACTTATTTTTCCAACATAAATAACGTCGAAAGACAACTTCATTGTGGTAGTCTGTACACAGTACAGAATTCATTTGATTGCCTCAGTCACAAATAAAGGAACTTCTTTGTAATCCCATTTGTTGTATCCGCTCAGTTATCACGTCTTCTATAAAATCCGCTGTAAACCGATTGTATGTGAGCATCACATACTTGAATTGGCGCCGTGACATTGAAAACCCACAAACGCTCCTGATCGGCTAGTTCATAAATTAGAGTCTCTCCAAAAATTATTATTTAAAAAAAATATATTACCATTTATTTTGTTTTTATGCTAATATTTATAGACTCTAATGATTCCGATCTAATCTGAATGTAACTTAGATACTAAGAGATCATGTAAAGTAGAGTACGTGAAAACAAATAAAAAGAAGAATAAATAAAACAATTGTGAAGGTTAATCGATAATTGAACCAAAGTACAAAACTCCTTTATTTCTAATGAAGAAAGTAATCGATAATAATCTTCAATAATACTGTAGTGAATGAGAACACAAGTGGGACAATCAAATGTATTTGAATACACAGTTACAGAACGCCTTAGTAGTAGTATCTGAGATCCATATAGTAAATATTTCATTTGCTTAATTTCAATTAGTTGTCTTAAACATCATTGTTCCTTCGTTTCCCAACCAATCATTCTCTATTCCCATTCCGTTTTCTTCGCAATTCTTAACCTTCTACCACCAGGTATTTCGCTTTCGACTGATGATATATACTACTTATATCTCTCAATATCAGTAGCACACATCACAATATAAACGTAAAATTATGATAGTTTAGTATTCGAAATTTGTCGGTGACGTTAGATCCCCAAAACTCATATTTTGTAATTTTATCTTTGTGGAGCTTGTATGCAGATGTATACTTGGGCATTTCTTACCACCCACGCAGATAGTCGATTGACGAACTTATCGATTAAATTTAAACGAATGTTCTTCTAGATTAGAACGAATAGTTTGACAGAAATTGGGCGCCGAGTAAATGTTTAAAAACTTCCACGGTAATATCGATCATATTTGTTTTGCATAAATACGCTTGATTTGTGAGCCTGATGGATCTGGTATCTTCTGTTTTTCTGTAGAATACACTTTCGACATTTTTCCAAGACTTTTGGATCTAGTTAGCTGAGTCGAGGACAACGGATCAGTATGGCCTATCGAGTCTCTGAATCCTCGATTCTTCGCTCGTTCCGAGTAAGACGAATCAGTAGTTGACGAACATAACAAAATTAGAAGTTAGTAAAGTAAGGTTTTGAACCTGTTATTTGAACTCATCAAGAATGAATATTATTTAAAGTACTGATATGTGAGCGAGAATGATTATGATTGATTGTTTGCTTAGTAAGTCATGTAGATAGTTTGACAGATGTCAGTTGAGTTACTTATTCCCCTATCCTCATCCTTATTTATTATTATTGATTGTTCCTTGTTGTTGGATTGTGTCGAGTTTTTGGTGTGAAAATATATTTACGTTTTAGTCAGGCTAATCACATGTTCTTGGTCTGAGTTGTGTTGAAGTTCTGTAGAATAATAGGCACTAGGAAGGAATCTGGTGTAGATATTTGTCTAAGGTAAATTAACGTCCCATACGTGTAAACGTGGAAAACCAACAATTATAACAAGTACATTCAATTGGTTTTAATAAAAACAAAAGGTAACTGATTGAATCATGTATCTAATACAGAATTTGTCATACTGAATTGAACATTACTTAAAATGTGATTTGAAAATGAACGTATATTAGGAGAAAATGAACGTTGATTGCTTTTGAAGAACCGGTTCAAAAGATACAACATCAACCTTCTGAGTAACAGATCTTCTCTCCATAATATCAATATTTGATCACAGTATGTAATATTAAATATCATGTAATCAAATGAATTGTAATGTGATCGTTACAAATCAATTAAGTGCGGAGGGACAGCTTTATAATAATTGAAATAGTGAATATTACATATAAATTCCAACTCAGCACTCACCACTTGTTCAAATACACTTCATTGTAGGTGTTGGGTCGGCTTCCGGAGAACTTCAACGGAGCCTCCAGAGGCCCAAAAGGAGCCGAAGAGTCCTAGCCAATCAGAGTATGATGGAACGTTCGAGAATTCCAGCGTGGCGTGCTACCATTGGTTGTTAGCATAACGGATTGGCTGAAATATGATGTTGATTTAACAAACGCCAACATCTATAAATACCCTTGATTTTCTGTGCTAGAATGAACCTTGGGATAAGGTATTTTCTCTCATACTTTTGTCTTCTCTCTGGTGTTTAAGTCGCTGTATAGTTCTAGACTGCGGGTTACCGGAATAGCTTGGGAACAAGTATAGCGTTCAATTGACAAGACTTATCAGTGACGACGGGGATGAAAACTACAACGAATATTTCTTTAGAGCAATTAGAAGCCTATATGGTGCGTCAAGTAAAGAGGTTTGAAAAGTCCCAAATTAGAATCATGGAAACCCTGATGCAGAAATTCTGCCAGTTGCAGCAAAACCCTGCTTCTAGTGAATCTCAAGTATCACATACTGATTCAGTCATTAACGCCATCCATGAATTTAATTTTGATGGTGTAGCAGGTGTAACTTTCGAATCCTGGTTTAAGAAGTATGAAGATTTGTTTTATATTGGTGTTTGCAAACTGGATGATGCTTCAAAAGTCAGAATACTTCTTAGAAAACTTGGGACTATGGAACATGAACGCTATAGCAACTTCATTCTTCCAAAGAATTCACGCGATTTTAGTTTTGATGATACAGTCAAAACCCTGTCCCAAATATTCGGAGAACAATCGTCTCTATTTATTATCCGTTACCAGCGCTTAAAGTTTACGAAAGAACCAGGATATGACTGGGTAAAGCATGCAGGAACTGTGAACCGAGAATGTGAGAGGTTCAGATTGTCGTCCATGTCCGAAGATCAGTTCAAATGCTTAGTATTTATCTGCAACCGGCGTTCACACGAGGATGCCGATATTCGAACCAGAATCCTAAGCAAACTCGAACACTGCCCAAACATGACCCTGCAATAAGTGACTACTGAGTGCCAAAGGTTAGTTAACTTAAAGCATGATACCTCAATGGTAGAAAACGGTAACTGTTTCCATAACGTCAATGCAGTCAACAGAAAAGTCTTTCAAGGTTGCAGTACCCATAATTATCGAAATAACAGCGACAAACCATCATCTCCATGCTGGGCATGTGGAGGTTGGCACTATAAGCGGTTCTGCCCGTACAAAGAACATTGTTTTATTAAGTGCCATCGGAAGGGCATAAAGAAAACTTCTGCAGGAGAAGAAACTATAGACAAAATTCCTTGAAATCTTACTCAAAGAAATACAGATATAGTGCTCTAACCAACAAGATATTGGTATCACATAACACAGCACAAAGTTGCCGCCAAAGAAAGTACGTAACCTTGAATATTAATAAACACTGTACTCGCCTTCAGCTTGATACAGCTTCTGATATTACTCTAACCAGCCCAGAAACATGGAAGAACATTGGAAGACGCACAGTTTTCCCGAAAACACAGCTAGCACACAGTGCATCTGGGGGTAAGTTAAATATTGTTGGAGAAGTGCCATGCAATGTTTCTGAAGGCACTGTAACAACGAATGTAACAGTATATCATACAAAGAAGCCAGCACTCGACCTAATGGAGTTAGATCTTATAGAAACACTTAAACTAGCAGACCATTAACAGTATCTGCAGACGAATCAGAACAGACAACACCCCAGAGTGGAGCCAGAAAAATGCCATGCTACAAAGACACCAAAACGTGTTTAAAGAAGGATTGGGGGAATATACGTAGGCCAAAGCAGTGTTAACTCTAAAACCTGAGGATGCTCCTGTTTTTTGACCTAAAAGGCCTGTACCAATTGCTGCTCTTCCAATAGTTGAACACGAATTACAAGGAATTTATGGTGACATATATTCAGTGATTTTTGTAACAACAAAAATAAAAACCACATT